GAGTTCGTATTGGCCCTAGACTGAGAAAAAGGATACCCACCCTTAGGAGGGATTGTCTGCATGACCTTCGGGTTCTTGCACTTAAACTGCGTATGGCCGTACTCGCCGCAGTGCAAGCACCTCGCGACCAACGGTTTCGCCACACTTCCTAATCCAAACCGGCCGTCACCCAAGCAGCTATTTTGTTTGGGTTGGCGGCTTGCCCCTGACTCCTCTGTTCATCGCCCTTGTCGCGGCCTCTTGCCTTAGTCTTAACTACGATGGCGAGGTTGCTACCCTTAACACTCTCCTCGCCGTCTAACTCTGAACCCTCCACAAGTTCAGAAACATCATCGATCTCAGTTTGGTTCCCTTCGGAATCAACCATCTTCAATCGACTACCCTTCTTCTTTCATTCCTGTGGAGACTTCTTCTTTCTCCCGTCCGTAGAAGGGGTCTGCGCACTACCCAGCGTAGCCTCTAAATCTAGGGCCTTTTTACTGAATGTCTCAAAGGTGTGATACTCACGCCGAGCCTCGCTGGCCAGTAAGTTCTTGATGTCTGTGGGAAGACATCTTAAGAACGTGGTCAATAAGACTTGTGGATTGTACTCCACTCCTGGGACGACAATCAGACGTTCTACGGTAGTGGTAAGCTCTCGCACTGACTTGTACTTCCTAGCATCAAGCTGCACCCTATCACCCATGTTATCACCTCCTTTGAGGCTACCAATTCATTTAGTCATCGAGTTGTTGAACCCTCCAAGTAGGATGGAACAGTTATCACCTCCTCCTCTACCAATGTCCTCTTTGCCCTCACCCACACTGGCACCGTTCTCAACCATGTGTCAAGAGCCTCATCCTTTTTTTCTCCTGAGAAGGTTGGAGGTGGTTTTAGGGGGGTCTTGGGGTACCAAGGTGATTGTTGTCTCGCTGGCGGGACAGGGGTGTGATGTAGCTCCAGTCGCTGGACCAGAAGATGAAGAAGCAACAGTCTAAGATAGAGTTGTTGCTGACGTACCGCTTGGTGATGTCCGGACTGAACGGCATAGGGGCCTGTCATCGCTGAGAATGGCAGCGATGGTAAAACTGTTGGCCTGATACCCGGCTTATGCATGGCGTTCAGGATCTGGTCTAAGGTGTCATGGATTGTATACAGTTTGCTGTCCATGTATGCGTACATGGACAGGATGCTCGCCTTAAAAATCTTTTCAGTATTACTAAGGGTCGAGTAATCTAACCCCTCCAGTGCAGCTTTATCTGCCTCCCTACCCTCTAGTGTGACACTCCTGTCTCTAATCTCCTTCTCTCTCTTAGTAGCTTGTTTAAGCTCCTCCCTCTAGCCTTAAGCGAAACCTCTCTACTTGTTGGAGCTCCATCTGCTCCCGGGTGTGAGGAGGCGGCGAGCTGAACTGCGAACCCGCCATCTGACTAGTGCCAGCTCCTGACGTATTGGAGATGGACTGTGAACTGGTTGCGTTGAGTGGCATACCAGTAGAGTTTGCAGCAAAGGTGGCTGAAGAAGTAGCCATTGCTACCGCACTAGCTGTTGCTGTTGCCAACGCTCGTTCAGCGGTCGCCGCTGCTTCTCTCACAATCTCTAGATTACGGGCCCTTGCTTCGGCCCTAAGCCTTCTCTCGTCTCCTGGTAGTAGAACCTGGAACACAACGGGTATCCTACCGGTCTCCCGTCGTGCCTGCCTCCTATCGTCAGTTGTCCCTTCAGCACCCTCTCATCCACTCATGGGCTAGGCAGACGCTGTCTGCACTAATGTCCTCTCTGGGACCTACCGCAGCATGCGTCTGACCGGTTCTAAAAATAAATAAAATAAATTAATGTTCGGCGAGTCACCTGGACTACCTATCAAGCGACATCAACAACACCTACACAGAATGTACACATATAGTCTACTTCTATTCTGATTAGTTCTGTTCACAAGCTTTGAGGAGAACTGACTGTGGTAGATTACAGTCCTACTCTAGGTTGTCTGTTAGGTGTCAGCAATCTGTCAACCAACTAATCAAAAATAAAAATAGACTACTGTGAGCAGATGTATGCACAATGGGTAAAGTAGTGACGTTCAATTGAGTTTACAATTGGAATCCCTTTCCCTTGTATCCAACGTACCTGTGAGCATCATCAAGCGACAGTGTCTAAGGTGTGCAACCACGGCCCACCCTTGTGCCCAAGAAGTATGCTTATGACCAGTCCTGCCCTTTGTTTACCCTCGCGTGCAACGAGCCTTACGTCTGACCGATCTGGCTGATCAAGAGGCAATTTAAGGACAGCCCCCGAGAGTCCTCAGGAATTCTTTAACGTCACAACCAGGACGACGATCACAACCAGTGGACAGTTCAGACCCCAACCAGAAATGTTTATAGATGGTCTGGGAGCGTCTACGTAGGACTGGTCAGTCCGCACAACCCTTCTATCAGCGCAGCAAAGAGCCTCAATGGACAAAGCAGCATGGCCTGCGTGTACTACTACCCATGGGTTGGCATGGTGACCGTGACCCGTGCTTCGACCAGGGCCCTTCAGAGGCACCGCCCTCTCCTGCCAGATGCGCCACCGGGAAGAATGTTGTCTCTCAAAGTAGAGCGCACACGACTCCTCGCCAAAGAGAGGACACTCAAGTTGGACTCACTTCCTTACGGTAAGAAGAGATTGATAGGGTAAACAAGGAATGGGAACAACATACCTGGAGATAGCTGCCCCCAACCACAGATTTCTCACCAATTGGGCCGACGTGCATTTCGATGACCGGTCAATAGCCTCGGTACCACCCACAACGCAATGCAGTGCCACCTCAGCCAAAATGCCACGTCAGCATACTCTCATCATCATGCATACACCCGCTGTCGCCACAGCTCCCACGCTGTCACCACAGCCTTCCAGCGGCCGGCCCCTCTACCTGGGCCCCGCTCAATCAAACCAGCGCCGAAGTATCCTTACTGCACATGAAGCATCATCAGTGCACCAACTAACAATGTTGCCGGTGCCAGGTAAGCGGCGATAACGAATCAGATCCGAAACCAGCTCCGATACCAAATTGCAAGGAATATGAGTGTGAACGATATACACAAAACCAACCAATGTTGCGAAATCACACAGATGTCCAGGTAGTCGTATCCAAGCAGAGAGTACAAACTGCACCGGGAAACCATCCATATAGAGCAATACAATGAAGTAATGAGCCAATGTTCAAGCCCGTAGGCCACACCAACAGTATCCAAAGTCGCTCCTCTCTGTCTGGCGCCCAGCGCCCAACCTACTCTTCCCGACTATCCTACCTACAGCTGGTTCATGCAACAGGCTCACTTCGACTCTCGAAGACCAATGTACATGACTGTCAACTCCATAGCCGACCACTCTTCATGCACCAGGTACGTATCTCGTCACCCTCAATCAGACCTTGAATACCCCACACTGCGCTTCCTTCCCTGAAGATCACCAGATCACCCGCTGTACCCCCTGGCGCCCAGCAGCCCGGCTATGGCCGCCTGTGCCCCGCTGCCCTGCAGCGCCCCACTTCACCACTACGCGCTCCGTCAGCGCCCTTGGCAGCAGCGCAGCATCAAGCGATAGCGCAGCAGCACTTCCGCATTGCCTGCACTGGCCAGCCGGCCTGGCCTGGGCTGCCTCACTTCTTTTATGGAGCTGGCAGCCTCCTGGATGCTGCGTGTGGCCTGGCCGGACGCTTCCAGTAGCTTCCGGTTGGGCCTCAGACCCTGCGCCCAGGCCCGAGACTACAGTTGAGGGCCTGGGCCCGTTACAGTTGCGCACGGCCTGAGTTTCCGGACTTGGGCTGTTTGCTGCATCTGTGCAGGGCTCGCCGGCAGGTGCGTTGGCAGTACCGCTTTTGCAAAGGCCTATGGCCTGCTTCCCAATGTATCGGCCCTGATTTGTGTGTATGTCCCCAGGCGCAACTGTCAAGACCTGGACCAACTGTATGACACAGCTTTGTGAGGCTCACGCGTCTACGCAACCAACTAGAGTGCTGCGAGAGCCCGAATACCCACATATGGAAATGTCGAATTTTGCCTCTGATGAATATTCAGGCCCGCCTTCACTTAGGGAGGGCACTCGGCTTGCTGGGGGCCTTAGCCCAGATCATGTGATGTCTGATAGGGCCCCTTGAGGGCTGGTTCCTCACACTATATTCTTCTCTCGATATATCTCCCACTACCTACCTACCTACCTACCTACACGCAGTTAAGCAATCCACTACAGGGTTTTTCGTGCCCAAGGCAGGAAATCTCCCCTAAGTTAAGAAGCCACATCTGCTCTGTACGGGGAGGAGCACCCAAACTTCTAACACCAGGTGTGAGCTGGAAGGCGCTTCTTCTTCTTCTTCTTCTTCTTCTTCTTCTTCTTCTTCTTCTTCTTCTTCTTTCTCTTCTTCATTCTTCTATTCTTCAGTCTTCTTCCTCCCTTGACCTTATTCTTGTTCCATTCCCTTTCATTTGAGTTGCAATCAAATGGCGTTGTCCTTTGGCGAGTTTTGCATTGGTACTCTGTAGCAGCTTCTAAGACCGAGCATTTTGCCAGTAGCTGCGCCTCCCATTTCATCGTCCCCCACCCCAACCGAATAACAGCAGTGTCTAAGGCCAACACTCTCCCACACACCACACACAACCTACTCACACTCACACTCACACTCACACTCACACTCACACTCACATTCACAGTCACAGTCACACTCACACCCGTGTTGGCCAAGGACCCTGCTGTACTGCCTGATATACTACCTTGGGCGCAAAAAAAAAAAAAAAAAAACTTGGGCATTGGGCTCAGTCTCCATTGTCATCTCAATCTGTTGTCGGCTCAGCAGTGCTTCTCTTCATCACTGGGCCTCTTGATATAAATGATATTAGGGAAGGGTCCCACTTAAAGAGGATGCTCTTATCACCCCTCCTTAAGAGGGCACCTTTAAACTGAAGTTTTAACTAGAAAAAAAAAAGAGAAAAAAAAGGGAAGGGTTTCTGGGAAAGATACAAAAGGAAACAGATTGGGATACCCACCTTTTCGCCAACGCCGAAGGATGAGCCCCTTCCTCCAACACAGCACCACCTGATGACGACGAAAGAAACAGAGGCCCAAAGGGAAAGTGACCATCAGAACAGGGTAAACTCACAAACTTGCACAAAGCGAGAAAAACAAAATCCGAAAAAAGCTTACGAAAGAGAATAGGAATTTAAGAAAATTTCGCCAGGCGGCATAATCACAGAACCACATTTTTTCAATTTTTTTGACTGAAATCGGCCACGAACACGGCAGCGACAAACTGTTTTGTCGGAGTTATATACTTATGCGATCGCCCCCACAATTCAACAACATCTCACAGTGCACAAATTGCACACTTGATCACATGAAAGTGTAGAACCAAACATGAGATGAGAGAGCTCCAAAAGTTTATCGCAAATTGAAGTTGTATACAACAGGTTTGCCTATACACACTCTGTCTGGGCTGCTATGGCCGCCAAAACAACAACCAAGACTACACTTGCTCCCTCTCTCTCCCTCTTGGTGTACCCTACACTCAGGCCTCACCCACTCTCCGAACGTCTCTCTCTCTCTCTCTCTCTCTCTCTCTCTCTCTCTCTCTCTCTCTCTCTCTCTCTCTCTCTCTCTCTCTCTCTCTCTCTCTCTCTCT